TATATCAAAACACTTTCCCGTACTGGAAGACTAAACACAGCACTGTAGCAGCTGTGTACAGTGAAAAATTACTAAGAAAAATAATTCTAACACGCCCTACAGGCTTCAGCAAATCTAGGTACTCATGCTCAGTAAAGCTGGGCAAACAGCACAAATCACACCATGTTATTTCGAAAAATAATTCTAACACAACCTATAGGCTTCAGCAAATCTAGGTACTCATGCTCAGTAAAGCTGGGCAAACAGCACAAATCACACCATGTTATTTTTTTTATACTCCTATTATAATCCTAACTGATTTGTTCTAATTAAAACTTACTTATTTACGCCAAACAACTAATATCCCCCAACACAGGTTTGGGGTGACAGGAGCATGTCTCCATTTCTCTGCTTTCATTGCCTGTATAGGAATGGTCAGAACAAGGCAGAGCTGGAGGGAGATGCAGCTTGTCCATGGAGCTCACAAAGAGCTAAAGGAGATCTCACTTTGCTTGGAAGTAGCAATCTTTTTTCTTTCTTTTTTTCTTTTTTACCTGGAGAAAGAACGAGGAGGCAGGGGACTGGTAGCACTTCCCAGTAGGATTGTCCCCAGAGGGAGTGGCAAGGTTTGGCTTGGTTAAAAGTCCCTGAGCAAGTGGGCAAAGGGAGGAAATCTGAAATGGGAAGGGCTGGGAAGGTGTGTCAGGGGTAAAAAAAAGGTGATATAAAGCAGTATCAGAAAAACCCTGTCTGAGTACAATACTTCAGTGAGCAAGCTCTATATCCCCACAGAATATTTATACAACAGTTGAGCCCTGATTACACCAATAAGCTTAAGACTTTCTTCCTTTTTTTTCATGTAACTGGCTGGAACCTTACTTATTTACGCAAAACAACTAATATCCCCCAACACAGGTTTGGGGTGACAGGAGCATGTCTCCATTTCTCTGCTTTCATTGCCTGTATAGGAATGGTCAGAACAAGGCAGAGCTGGAGGGAGACACAGCTTGTCCATGAAGCTCACAAAGAGCTAAAGGAGATCTCACTTTGCTTGGAAGTAGCAATCTTTTTTCTTTCTTTTTTTCTTTTTTACCTGGAGAAAGAACGAGGAGGCAGGGGACTGGTAGCACTTCCCAGTAGGATTGTCCCCAGAGGGAGCAGCAAGGTTTGGCTTGGTTAAAAGTCCCCGAGCAAGTGGGCAAAGGGAGGAAATCTGAAATGGGAAGGGCTGGGAAGGCGTGTCAGGGGTAAAAAAAAGGTGATATAAAGCAGTATCAGAAAAACCCTGTCTGAGTACAATACTTCAGTGAGCAAGCTCTATATCCCCACAGAATATTTATACAACAGTTGAGCCCTGATTACACCAATAAGCTTAAGACTTTCTTCCCCTCCACCTTGTTTTTCATGAAACTGGCTGGTTATGTTTATTTCAAGTACTTTAAATACACCTGTCTTGGGTTTTGCCCATTTGAGGGCTGGAAACCAACCAACAAACAGATTTTTTTTCATGTAACTGGCTGGTTATGTTTATTTCAAGTATTTTAAATACACCTGTCTCGGGTTTTGCCCGTTTGAGGGCTGGAAACCAACCAACAAACAGAAAAGGTGTATTCAGACTTTTCAATTACAGTTGATATAAAATAATGAATAAAAACCCAGGATGGGAGATGTTTCCCTGGAACATGAAGAGCAAAGGTTAAGCGTCTCCTAAATCCTGAGCCCCACGCTGCCAGCAGGGAGGTGGAAACCTCCCTCAGATTGAGCAATTTTGCGGTCTAAAGGTTTGTGGAAGTGCTATATAAGCTTTTGCTGGGAGGACTTTCTCTCCTCTCTTGCCTTTCTATAGTGACCAAACAAACGTGAGTTCAAAGTCAGCAACTCCAGAGCTGACCTTCATTTACACAGCTCACAAACATGAAATACAAACCAGCTCCCTACAAAGAAGATTTGCTCTGCACCATAATTATGCGGAAGTGTGATTTCAACCAGCTACCTAACATCAAAGGAATCAAAGGTGGAGAGACCCGAATCCAGATTTCCAGGGAAATCATACCACATGTGGTAAATAAGGGGGCACTTATCTCTCAGAAATTTAAAGGTTGGAGCCCACGTGCTAATTACGTTTGTCATGCCAGAGGTTGCCAGGATGAAGCTTAGTCACGTATCAGAAGTGGTTCAAGGCTTCCTTAAAGTAAAGAGGATGAGGTCTCAACTCTTCTTTGAGGGTGGGGAACTCTTATGTAGGGTTTCCCCTGTCAGGCGTTGATGATCATTATTGTTGGCACAGAAGCACAACAGATTTGTGGTCACTGGTTAAGGAATGGTATGAAAAAGGTAGATGAACATGTGATAACGTGATCTGCCTAAGTTTATGAGCACGTTAAGTATTAAGAGGTATTTTAAGAGCTAAGATCAACTACGCAGAACAGTTTGTTGGTGTGAAAGTTATTTTTGAGTGAATTTCGGAAGCGTGGAAGTTTTACTTCTCAAGTTGGTGCAGACCAGGGAACCACACGTCCATCAGCTGTTCCTGAGATGCTCCAAGAGACTGTGGAAAGGTCTGGAGATCTGGTACGGAGCCGACGCATCAGAGCACCACAGTGAATTATGCTATAACACAACAGTGACAGATATATTTGGCACAAAGTTGCCGTGTTATAGTAAGAATCTCTTAATTTAGTAAGGATAAATTAACAAGTCTTTTTTTTTTTTAAAGTGTAATATGAAAGTCCTCCTTTTGCAGTCCGAGTGTAAAATAAGTACTTAATGCTTTGCTTATAGTTACTTATGCTTTAGCATGTAAAGTTAGCAATAGTATCGATCCCACCTTTGGCTAACCAAAACGGCATCCCGTGTAATTATGAAGAGCTTTGATGCAGTAATTGTCACATAATTATTGCTCATGTAATCTCAAGTAATGACTGTACTCAGGAGCAGCATTTTTAACTATTTTTTTTTTTTGAGATCATTTGCTATTTTGTGTTATGCTGTCCCAATGAAGAATAAATGTCGAGATCAGAGCTTTATTCTGGTCCAACGTGTATTCTTAATTTATTGCCACCAAGTCTCCCATCAGCTGTGATTTCTCTTTTATTGCAAACTTTTTTTTTTTAGTTCCTCAGCAATACCGGTTTGAAGTACAAACTACATTAGGATCCTATGACTTGGCTGAAAAACTTTTTCAGTGCCCAAAGCTTATGCAGAATTGCAACAGCAATGTAAGGAAAAGGAGAAATTAATAGGAATGAATGGAACAATATCACATTATTTTAAAGCATTCTATTTTGTGGTCAAAAAGCCTCAATGTGCTTCACATTTTCATGAAGAAACTGTATGTGACTCAGGAAAAGAGAGCCTCTTACCCCTGTGTAAGAGGCTTCGAGAAGTAAATGGATAAAAATGAAATACTGTAAATATATTTAAAAAAAAATTCGTGGTGAAGAGTGAAAAGAAACTGACTTTCAATATTTGAAGATATTTCTTTTATACTTCACTTATTCAACTGAAATAACTGGGTTGGGTGATTTATTGAATTTGTCTTATAACCTGTTCTGCAAAAAGAGGGGATTTGGAAAGCAAATAGTCTAATATAAAGTGACAATGCATTGAGCTGCTACAGAAAATGCAGGAAAACATGAACAATAGAAGCACAGGAAGCAATATTTACAGATGGAATGAAGAAAAAAAAAAATCTAACCATTCAAAGTTATGTTCTACAGCATGAGGTCAAAGAACATAGTTTCTTGCTGGATTTTCAACTTGAATTAACTCCTGAGAAGCAAGAATCAGAACGGAACCAAGGGCAAGGACTGCACGATTGTGTGCAGGGATTTGGTGAGGAAGATCATTTGGTGATGAGACATTTCTCTTCTGGTGGTGGAGAAACGGCACTTTTCCTTGTGTTCATGTAATTGTGTGGATCGTGATTACACAGATCCAAGAAAACTACAGCTTTGAAAAACAATGGTACAAATATAATCCTAAACTGGTATTACAACAAAAAAATCCATCTCCAATTTGCAGCTACAGGGAATTGAATTTCCAGGGCCTTATATTCCAAAAGTATTCCATTCATTAATTCCAGAAAGACAACTGAATAAATACCAAAACCTTTCCAGTGTTATTTAGCTCTCCAGCCCACTGAAGGCAGTGACATTTCATTTTCAAGCTGTACCCAAGAAGGCACTCAAAATTTTCCTTTACTACACAGAAAATCTCATGTTATTTCAGTACAATTTATTTAAATTTGTATTATTTGTCGTCAGCATAGAAGTTGAGCAAGTACTAGCCATACACGATGCAGCTTTGGGTCACAGAACTGTGTAAAACTAAACTCAAATACGTTGTCTGGTATTCAAGGACTGTATTTAGAGAGATGCAGGTACCTCTAACGCAAATTGCAACATAAAAGACAGATGAGGCAACTGTTTCCAGCAGCTGAAATGCAGCTATTAAGGCCCAATTACACCCATGGCACGTCACCTCTCCAGAAACCTCCCAGTTTTAGGGACATGCCTTCAAGGCATGAAAAGGCAAAACCCGTATTTTGGAGTCCCGCTTCTGGCGTGAGGGGTACGATGGGCCCGGCTCCGGGGCGACTCGCCCCCCGCCAGCCCCAGCCCCATCGCCTCATCGAGGCAGGGCTCGGCGGCGCCACACTCCTCAGGGGTAACCGCAACCAGCCCGACGCCACCGGTTGTTTCATGGGCCGCACAACCGAGCACGATGGGCGGCAGGGCAGGGAGGGCCGGCCCCACGGTGGGTCCCGGCCCGACGCGAAGCCCCAGGCCCCACGGTACCGCCTCGCCGCCGGCAGCGGGCGGGGTCCTGAGACGGCCTGCCCCGCCCGCCTATTGTGTCTGGCGCTAAGGCACTCCGCGCAACGCCTGAAAGACCCGCCCGAGAGGAGCCCACAGCGCGTCGCGGGGGTGGGCTCAGGCGTTCTCCGCGGACACCCGCTAGCGGCCAGGACCCCGCGCCGCTCGCTCCCGCGCCCGCCTCGCCTTACGCGCTGGGCGTGCGCGCCGCCGCTCTCTCCCCTCAGCAGCGCGGCGGTAGCGGGCGCAGCGCGGGCGGCGGGGCCGGTATTCGGCTGAGGCGGCCATTCCTACAGCGGCAGCGCTAAGTTCCTCCCCCCCCTGCCCCTCCTCCCGGTTCCCCCGGGCCA